GAATACGCACTATGGATCATTCATGAACTGGGTGTTCTTCCAATTTATGTGCACTCCAATTTTTTTCCCCACTTCGTTGAGCTCACTGATGATCGTCTCTACTTCGATGGTACTTGAGAAGATGACGATGCCGTCGGCTAAACGAAGATTTGATAGGAAATCTCCATCAATACGCATGTCTTTCTTATCCCAATAGAGTGACTTCACTGTCCAGTGCAGTGCATCCGCTCTGTGTGTAGTGCAGAGTATTCTTGACGTGGTTGAAGTATCAGCCCACATCTCTGTAGCATAGCAGAGCACTGGGAGGACAGTTGAGTCGAAAAGGTGAGCGCGGATCATCGGGTTCTTCATTTGGTCGGTGGCTTCTTCCAGAGGTCCGAATGCCGCTCTTCTCCTTCTGCCTAGTTCCTCCTTCATGTTATTTCCCATGTTCATTGATCACCCAAGGTAAATGTACGAGGTGGCCTCTGTAATCAGGGAGCCATCCAATTCAATTTCTTCGCCTTCGCACCATTGGTTTTTCATGAACTGAGTCTTCTTCCGATTCATGCGTTGTCCGATCTTTTTTTCCGCTTCGTTGAGCGCGTTGATCATCGTCTCTGCTTCGCTGGTACTTCTTGAGAAAACGACGATGTCATCGGCGAAACGAAGGTTTGATAGAAATATTCCATCAATACGTATGCTTTTCTCATCTCAATCGAGTGACTTCATTATCCACGGCAGTGCAGCACTAAACAGTTTTGGCGAATTGGTGTCGTTTTTCTATGGATACGGTAACAACTCGGTCGAAAAGCCGTATCTTCGTAGCGCAGTTCCGATAAGATTCTGCTATTGTTCGCATATAGACGAGTCCACTCCTAGTGAACGAGCGCTGATAGCTTTGCATTCGTCTCAACACTTTACAAAGACTTTTCCATTGTCGACAAAAGCCGATGACCCTGGACACGGTCTGGATGTGATCAACGCAGCAAAATCCCTATTGAAGTTCTGCTCGGTCAACTGAATGTGCTTCAATGTCCTTGATAAACGCGAAAGAGTAATCTTCGTGAAGAGCTAGTAAAGTAGACTCAAGAAGCATTTCGGACAATAGCCATGATCCTATCGATTGCTCCTCTGGCAGAATGACCGTACACGACGCTCTCCAGTGGTTTGAGATTTTCGCCTTCTGAAAGTACGATGTCAAATGAGTTGCGAGAAGTATGTGTAATTTGTTGCTTCCAGCTCGAAAGAAATCGGCGGTAATATAATCGCGTCCTGAAGCTGTGACTTTTTCACGCTTTCTATCACAACTCGAACTTCAGAGGGTGGAAATAAAGGTGGTTTTTCTCCAGATGGGATTTCAGGGTCTTGAACGGAGATTCTGGGACTAAAAAGTTTGGTGCAGAGCTCGTCCGTTATTAAGGTCATATCATGGCGGGAAGTTTTAATGACCCCGTCTTCGTTCATAAGCGCTAACAGCGGAACATTACACTGGCACACACTGACCCGACAGCATTTTTTCAAACTAGTTCTTTTTGTGCTCCTTTTAAAAGTTTCTTTGCCTATAACAATATTGACCTTCTCAAAAAACTCTTCTGTGGCTAGAATTTACTATTAGCCATGTTAAAAGCGTCGCAGTAGGACCAAAGTCCAGTTTACTTCCTCCCTCGAGCAACTCCTTAATGGCAATGGAGATGCGATTTGATCTTGTTTAAGGAATTGAGGTGAACTCGACACAACTTCTAAGTCCTTCGACAACCAGCCAGTAGCCTTCTGTCGGGCGTTAAACTGGCAGCCACGTTTGGATACCATGCCGTTCAGAATGTTCCCGTCATATGCGGCTAGACTTTTTCTCCGTGGTCGATGAAACGAAATCTTTTTTAGTTCATGATTGAATCGAATCTTCGCGCGAAAAAGGCGGTGATCGGAACCAGTAAAGAATGACGGGACTGCCGATGTACCAAAGAGGCACCATCTTCTGTTTGTCTGAACATGGTCCATCACTGCATTGGTCGTGTCGTCAGGAAACATTTCCAACGACGGCTTTCTCTCCTCGACAAGAATGTTTCCAGAGAAGAGGAGCGCTGTAGATAAGAGTCCTGCAAGGCAGTTTCTATTGGAATTTCCTCCTTCTACTGAAAAATAACCGATCCTGTACTCGCTCTCGTTGGCCTTTCCTATTCTGCGTTGAAGTCTCCTACAACGAATTTATAATAGATATTACCACTACGAAAACTTTCTCCAACTGAAAGTAATCTTACTTGTACTCATCAGCTGCGTCGGTCGGTGAGTAACAATTGATGACAGTGATCTTCTCACGACGCATCGGTGGAGTATGGAGGACGGCCACGAAAGGAAAAACGGTTTCGTACGAGTGGACGACATGAATAATGGACGAGTGGAAGACGAAGCCTACACCACCGACATTTCGTTACGGGACCTCTCCTCTGCGGATGAAAAGGGTCTTATTGCTTAGTTGGCCTGTCTTGGTCGTCTTGATTTCTGTTTCTTGCAGTTCGATCACATGAAATTTAATGCTATCTTAGGCTTCAGAAAGGGCGTGAAGATCGGCGTGTGAGTGTTCTGGTATTTTATACGTGCGGCGTAAGAAACAATCTCCATGGCGTGTCGTGCGTATGTTCGTCAGATCCGGTTTCAATAACGTCCTGCGTAACAAAAGGTTTTGTGGGCCCCTTAGCGCTCATTTCACCGCACTTCATAGACGGCACCCAGTGTGCGGGGTCCTGCGGTTGGCCTATTGCTGGTGGTGCAACTTGGTCCTCCCTGGAGTCCTGACTAAACCATGCAAGAGCGTTTTGAGGTTTCTATTATGATGTGGATCCGAGAGAAGTACCTTTTGGCAACGATTCCTTCCTTCGATCTACCTACTAGTTGACTCGGAGACGATATTACAGCAGAAATCAAAACTGAAAGAAATGAAAAAATAACCGAACAGTCATAAACTGTCTAAACACATCATACTTGCTGTTGCAATTGGAAACAGACTTTTGACGCTATGCTATATCGCTCGAACGTGAAAACTACAGCGTTTGAGGCTTACGGCCATACCACGCTGAAAGCACTCCATCCTTTCCGATCTGGCAAGTTTGAGGCATGGGTACAAACAATCACAAAGTCAAGAAGCACATTTCAGTTCACACCTCAAAAGATTCTATTTTGATGTCCCATCGCTATAACTATCTTGAGAGAAACTGCGATGGCTCAGTCATATAATGAAATATTGTGGAAGAATGGTGAACAGAAGAACACCCGAGCACAAGCCTTTAGCAGGTACATACACCACTGAAAAATACCGGAACAAACCGCACTTGTCGTCGACCATACTAACAAACTGTAGTTGTAGCTAGCTTTCTTTTTTGCAGGTTTGGTTCCCATGGCAAATCGATCCATACATGATGGTCATGATAGGATGTGAAAAGATAAATGACACGCGCTTATGCAAGCAGGATACGCTGAAATGAGCAAGACCAATATTTGTGCATGAATGCTTTTTGATCAGCTGCCACTTTTTTGTTAAAAATGAAAAAATGTCGACTTTGCCTCAAGATTATTTACAACTACACCAGCAGACCAAAGTCTTTCTCAACATGTTCGTCAAGTCTTCAATTCCACAAGTCTCCCTCTACTGCTTGTTCAGTTTACCACAAGCGGAACACCATCAATGACATTACATATCCTCTTCTAATGAACTTAAGCGTTGAATGGTCTTAGTAACCAGACCAATATTGCTAGTTTTGAGTTAAACACTTTAATATTGTGAACGATTAGTATTGATATTAAACTTTTCACTTAAACCTAGCAGAAAAACTGTACTCGTCTTCTTCGGTGATATGATGCAATGTTCGATCCAAAGCCTTCCTTTCATCCTCCTCCTCTTCCTCTTCGTCCGCACTTCCACCAGCTAGGGCTAACTGTAAAGAAGTAATAAGAAAAAAAAATAGCTTTTAGAAGAAAACTAAGTCGATCAAACAAAAGAACCAGTCGCAGACGAATAAATAAGCAGACATGAAATAGTTCTAATATATTCGCTATCATATGAGTCATAGACTCGTAAGTAGCAGAAAATGGTTTAGCACTCTTATATTTCAAACAATGGAATAACTGACAGCCATTTCGCTAACCACAATACAATGGCTTTTGTAGAAGCACAACAGTGGCTGCCGTCGTTTCAGTAAGAGATTTTAAAAACCCAATTTCGATTTCAATTCTTTGAGAATCTAAATTCTAAACTCAAAATTGGAATAGCACTTTAAAAATAATATACCCTATTAGAACGATAAGATGAAGCCTCTTCTAAATGACTCGAACACCCTCATCTCCTCTTATGTCTCTAATCATTCACAACTTAACGGCGGATGTATGAAACCATTTCGTTAGAAGTGTCAAATGAGTTCTGCTTGAGTGAAAACTACTGTTACTAATGTGACAAAAATACTTGATACTTGAACGACCCGTCCTCACTAGTTGTGCGGGCCCCAGTATAAACACCATTTTTCAGAGATTTGCTAGCTAAGCCATTGTGGTTCCCTGAAATCCCGAGGACAACCTGGCCAAAGTCTGCCCAGATCGTCACCACGACAGGTAGTCGCAGCCCTTGTGGATCAGGGGGAGATTTGCCACCATGCGACTTTGATACCAGGATGGTGGTGGATCCGGGTATTGGTTTACTCTTAACTAAACTTCCTGATGGAAACGCCGGACTCCTTTTCAGCTTGGAAGATCCTGCTGGGGAAACGAATCCCTCTGCTGTACATCGCAGTCCGACACCCAGGAACACCTCCCAGCCATGATGAGGCGGTAAATCGTTGGGAGGGACAAAAATACAACTTTAAAACATCTTAAATGTGCTCTGTATGATTTTGTAATGTCAATAAAAACTGTAGTAATCCTTTCTCTTGTATATAAAGCAATGCCGTCAGTATTAATTTAAAGGCGTGCAAAAGTAATCAATAGGAAGACTCAAAATTAAAGTATCAACAATACCTGAATTAATAAAGACATCAATGACACACCTTCTCTTTCAACTGTTGCTCAATCAACCCGACAGCGCTTTCCGCTTCGGCTAAATTTTTCGGGAGAGTGGCGGTTTTACGGATACGTCTCATACAATCTCGATATTCTGCTTCAATATCAGCAGGAAACCTAAAATAAACTGTAAACTAAGTGCAAAAGTTGACATGAAGATGGTCGCTAAAAATCAGGGTTAAGTTCAAATCGGCTAAATATGATTTCACAGATGACATCCTCTCCCTATCAACAAATAAATCTCAAAACAGGGACAGCATGTGAGTTTCAACTAAGACTGTGCAGTGACAAGATTGCAAATGAAAGCTTTAAACATCATGTAACCAAAAGGTAAGAAGAATAACATAGTAGTAAACACTAGCGACCTATTAGAACGCTTCACATATGTCACTTGAACTTCTATGTAGCCAAAAATAGAGCCATCAATTGTCACTTTTTTAAATGTTAGTTTCATGCATCAGTGATGTAAACCATACAAATGACCTGGGAGGCTCAGCAGGTTGCATAACTCCAACTTCATCGGTTCCAAGCTGCTCGGCAACGACTACGTTCACATTCCACTGTTCGCGCTTCATCCAGTAAAAGCGATGAAAATAAGTGAGAAAATAGTCCATTTTTTTACGAGCACGCCCAGTTTGGAAGAAATCTGCAACCGTGTTCAGCAATTCACACACCATCCGCACCCGGTAGAACTCTTGCCATGCCATCTGTTCTACCTCCGGGAAAGAAATAATCTGGTACAATACCTGTAACTATTCGCACTTTTCTGTCGGTATAAAATACTGTGCGATGGAAGTAATGTCAGCAGAATAATGTAAGGATTTAAAATACGGCTTATGTTCAACAATTCAGCAGCATAGTACTAAATATAAACACTAAAAATACCTTGTAAATAACCGGAGTATCGCATACACTGTAATTGTACAATTCTCCAAGATAACAGGCAGAGGCAATGGCTTTTTGATTAAACAAACGCGGAACCTCCAGAGATATCCTTAATTTAGCACCTGATTAAAAATTCACAGCAACAAAAAAAGTTACAAATAAGCCCATTCATTTCTTGCAAATTCTTTGGTTCTAATAATTACGGCCAAATTTTACAAAAATGTAAGTCAAAGAGGGTCATTACTCACTAGTAAAATCGAAAACCACTCACCTTATCATTTCCTGACATGCATCGATTACATACGTCGAAATCCAATCGTAATAGGTAAGACCTTGAAGACCAGCAACAGCACTCGCCAAATGAAGCAGATTTGAGTACGGTAGTAACCACGGTGAAGTAAGATACTTGAGACACCATCCTAAAAATAAAATCAGTCCTCACTTTACACCAACATGCACATAGCCACGAAGGTTTCTGACCATTTGGATTTATACTGGGAACATTTTGGTACGCAGGCTCCGACCTCAAAGCATTTTCCATCCAGCCCTATTTTTACGGTGCAGAACCTATCGCTATTTTTTGTATAGAGTTGATAGTCTAACACAAAACTTTAGCCGAGAGTGGTCCGTGAAAAGTTGGCCTCTTAACAATTTTTTAAAAAATTCACAGACTTTCATCAGCTGGCGTCACGAATGTTGCTAACGGGGTGGGTACCGAGATGTAGGAGCACTACTAGACTGGGTACGACCACATCGTGGTGTCCGTCCACTTTCATACAGGATTACAGGTTCCGAACTGCATCGTACTTGAATATGGCAAATACAAAAGGACGTATATACATAACAGGTGAAATCGATTATTAACAGTTAGAGCCCAATGCATGAATCCAACCACCCACCTAATCTAATTAACTCCTAAATCTTCACCGCTTTCGCTAAGAGTTGATTTTAGCTCAGGCTAGTCCATTTCTCCCTCTTCGCAACTAACGACTGCACTTTTTTTGTTGTTCTTTTTGCCGTAATGAATATTCTTCTATACACGTTGCTAGTAACTTTGGTTTTCTCCTTTCTAGTTACATTCCAAGTTCTTAGATGAAACTTCAGTGTCCAATGAAAAGAAGGAAAGAAACATGTCCATCATCAAGCTACGATGTTGTCGTCATGGCATATTGGCATATCGGCATGTCGACTTCACGACATACGTGGACCACATATTGTCATTCCCGTAGAAATGCCTTTACTCATTATAACAAACCGCATTATATTAATGCTTGTTATATGGGATAAATTCATAGAATGCGACTCGCTTTCCGAAGGGTACTGTGTTTGCTCACTGTAGACCTCTTTGATAGGTCTACAAACCCTTTTGCAATTTCTATTGACAGGTCCGACAAATTCGTTTGTCCTGCATAGTATTCCCCATCGGTTGTACTGTCGGCTAAATTGAAGTAAAAAAAAAACATTTTCTAATCCGTCTATTACATCAGACTTCAATGATCAATAATTGCAATCATTTATCGACCATAGGAGTGCAACTCTCCTCTAAATCACACAGAGCTTACGAGTGACAATTTCCAGCGATATTTTTTAAAAATTCCACTTCCCTTAGTAGTCTTATCTCTATTATTTGTGTTTTATTATACAATTAGGGCTTAAGAAGGTTACAGTTTCGATTTTTCTAAATTCCCAATAAAGGTACGGAATATGCCTTGTTATTGCAGAAAATCCATTATTCACCACAACTATCAATTATAGTTTGGGCAACAAATGCCTCAAATACAAATATCTTCCTAAAAAGATAACAAGCAAAATAAAAATGCCTCCGCATTTCGGTATGAATAAGAAAAATGCTTCGATACTTGATGCTTCATGAAGTTCATTTTTCAGCTGATGAGCTTTCTTTCAACAGTTCTAGACGTACGAAAACCGCTGAACTCGAGAATCCATCGCTGATCGTTATGGTAGCGTAGTGAGTACCAACTTCGATGGTTTTCTTTCAGTAATTCAAAGTTCAGAATATGTAACGAGTGCTGCGACGTTTTTCCAGCTTTGCTTCCATCTCCTCAAACCTTATTCGCTTTGTAGTTGTTAACCTTAGCATCCTACTGCCTAGGATTTTGCCGGCTTTCTACTCAGCTCGTGACACGTTTCATGCCTAGAATTTTCCTAGTGTCTTAGTCAGCTTCTCATAAGTCGCATAATCAGCCGATAATCCCCAATTCGTTGTTCCGTCTCGTTTCTTTTCGATATTCTCTTCATCTCTTCTCGTCATAAATAAATCATATAACATATGTTAAACAATATATGGAACTTTAATAGATTCTTCATAGTGATTTCATCTAACCATCAAAGTATTCCCCGTATGCAATGTTCCTCTCTAAGCTATTAACACACACTATCACTGAAATTATCAAGGCTTAACCTTGGATAAATAAATAAATGGCAATAATTAACACTGAATCATGTGTGTGCGTTGGTAGCGAAACTCGCCTGACACCATTTCGTCATTCCATGCCAATCTTCTGATACATTTAATATTCGTGTTTACATTGCGTTCGTTGATGTCCACGATAAGATGTCGGATGAAAATCATTAGCGGTGGTTCAGCCTGCGCTCGTCTGGCCGATGCCGTATCAGCAGGTGGAATGCATGCGAAAAAAGCGTTGTCAATAAGCATCTGAAATCAAGGATGGGAAAGTAAATTCGAGGAAAAAACTGCTCACGCAGTGAAGTTTCGTAGTCCCCTTGCTAATTTCTAGGTCGATTTGAAGTGTTACTTGATATAGGAATAACAAATATCTACAAAAGAAGCAAAAACTTACAGAAACAGGAAAAACGATTCTCGAAAGATCTTAAGAAAAAGTCGCAACTGAAACAAAAGAACGAAAAACGAAAGCTCGCGCGTTACGCAATCGACAAAAGCACCACTGTAAGGATGCGCTCTTTTTCTTTTTATTCACTCCATACGAGCTGTTTATAGCAGTAAAATAATGAAACAACTATGCAACATAGCAAGTAATGAAAAACGATGTTTACATTGCTTCAGCTTAACGAGGTTGAATGCCGACTTGTGCTTCCAAGATCACTCCCACCGACAGGTGATGATTGCTGATGGCACCGTTTGGGTAAAAAGACTGGCTGAGAGAAAGGCAAACAATGGCCACAGTGATGCAGTGGGTAATACGTGAGCCTCCGGAAAGGGTAATCGAGGTTCAACCTGACTTGCTGTTCCAAGTTTTGTAAATATCTCACCATCATCGTGGTGTTTACAATGCCCATCACCAAAGACATCCCTTAAGTAAAGAAAAAATTCCACAAACTACAAAGTACACGTTCGACTGAGTTTGAACTGACTATAGTGTTATTCACAACTTATGATTAGGATAAACACCTAGGAAAAACGGTCGAAGAATTCTGTTCCTAGCGGTGTCTCAACAATGGAAAATCGAACCACAAATTTCTTTCTTACCAATTGAGTTCCTAGGAGCACCACTGATCTCAAACACATGTTTTCTCCATCATATCACTTACGTAGGAACAAAAATTTACCACATGTCTCAGATCCTTTAATCGCTCTTTCTTCTTTTGTACAACATCAAGGATGATTTTCATTTTAGGATGGCTGTCAGTATTTCTGCAAATACAACCAATAATCATATCTCAGAGATATTTCACTTCAAAAATGACACCAAAATAAAGCTGCGAATTCAATTTCTCAAAAACCAGAACCACAAATGGTGCACCAAAACTCAACAAAAGCCTGTAACTGCCATACTAACCATCTTGGTAACGAAGCTGCCCCCAGATCTCCTTTTGAGGTATACCACGTGTATAAGAAACACAAAGAAACATAATGAACTACACGAACCGGTAAAGATAGAATCCAGCAGTTTCGATCATCGTGCTAACCATATCTATGGAATGACCCCGAAAATCATACACTAGTTGTCGTAGGCATGATAGCGCCTCCGCGCGAGGAATAACGCCAAATTTTACCTAAGAAAGTTCACCAGCTGCAAATGCTGCTCGTACACTATACATCGGTTAAAATCATGTTTGACTGCTATTAGCAGAAAGATATTGGAACTCAGAAAAACAAAATATGCAAATAATTTTCACAACCAACCAACTCAGCAATGAACATTACACATTTGATCTTTTCTTCTACTCGCTCCTGACCAGTTCTCTGTATAAACTCCCTGAAAAGAAGTAATAACATTGAAAAGATGTCCAAAAAGTTACTCAAGTCTCATTCCTTTCACCCAAACATCAAATCAACTCCACATTAAATTCGTTGTCAAATTGTACATAATTTTACCATTACCAGAATCTCACCGTTTCATCTACCTGTATTATACCCTTAAGCCAAATACTTTCAGCAGTACGGCTGAACGGCTGAATAGCCAACACACGAAGCTGCCATCATATGACCCTTACAATATTTACCGAATAAGTACAAATGCAATCGTGCAATTTCTAAGCTTTATGCAAGAAGTAGTGACGTAAACAAAGCATGATGTCGACAAGACTCATATTTCAACCATTTTATTTTCACCCGTCATAAAGAGTGAATAGTGCAGCAGCAGTAAAGCGGTTGATCAAGACCACAGTACTGCTCCGACACCGTACTGAGCTCACCACTCACCAAGCCCCTTGTCTCTCCACGATCGGGAAATTTGTAGAAAACTCGTCTAGGAACAGCTCACTCCACGCAATTAAAGAAAGAACGCTCTAGTCCGGCTAACCCAGGACACCATGGAGGATCAATTGGACTAGCATTTAACGAAATTTATAAAAAAGATGACAATTCTCAAGCAGAGGTCGAACCTACACCTGAAAAGTACGAAAACTTTCGTGAATGATGAATGCTAGGAAAACTAATCGAATGCTAGAAATGCTGCGATCTGCACAATAGGTAGGAATACTTATCGTGTAAAAAAAGAATCTTGGCTCATAGCTTTCTTTCTTCAAACGTTTTTTAATCATCTGTTTACTCATAGACATAGTAAACCTAATAATATATTGTACCGAGCGTTCGATGGCAAAATCTGTTCTTCACACTTAATACATCACAAAGATCAGAACTTCCAGAGGAATTTCTTCGTCTGGTTTGAATGTAGACGAGGAAGTACCGCAGGTACTGTCGTTGGTACCAGAAGTACAGAAGCGAGAGTACTGCACATAAAGGATGTTCGTCACGTGGGCAGCCATAAAAGAGAAGCGTCGTTAGTGCGTTAGCACACAAAGAACAGTGCGCATTCTATACAATCGCACGTGGAAAACCAAGTGGACAACAAGGCGATTGTTTGCCATGCATTTCCTTCTCACCAGTGTACCCTGCCCCACAGGACTACTTTTTAACAGTTTTAGTTACCAAACTGATCGAACAGCTGAGGCAGCAATGTAAAGTTGAAAGGTTTAGCTGCATATTTAAAATTTATACCATATCTCGAACCAATATCCATAAGACTCAGAAAAAATCCGAAAATTTTGTTTGGCCAGACAAAGTCTCAAGGATTTCATTTGCAGTAAGGAGTGAAATATAAATAAACATTTAGATTGAGACATAATAATAGCGGATAAGGCTTTCGGCGTTGACCAATCCCGGAGGGATGAGCCATAAATCAACTGCATTAGCATCGTTGAAGGTGACTGAATGCATATCTGGCCTTTACAATAACTCATGGTGGGCTACCAATGTACCGAGCCAGTGGTGGCATCTTCTCAGACAAGTCTGGTAGCAATTTGCCGAAACCGGAGCGATGGAGGACTTGGTGGGCCTAGGACTCCGACCACTGCGCTACATGCGCCCATAAATTGAGATAGTGTGTAAAATATGTGGCATTGCACTTTCCTCATTTACTTACTGATACAAATTCAACAAACACCAGATTTCCATTACACATTTTTTCTTCTTAAATCAACGCTTCGACAACCACATATGGTTCTTATCGAATGACACTGAATACGCGTAAATTTTAGCCGCTGGCAGCTTTCTTACCCCAAAAGTGGCAACACTTTTTCACATTAACAACAAAAATGATCTGAACAAATGTTTTAAGTGGCTATAATCCAGTTTTTCTATGTTTTTCTTATCTTACTTGATTTTCCTCTGTTTAGAAATATATTCCACGTCTGTGTGCATACGTGTATACGTATGTGTACATGTGTACCTGTATACGTGTATGTGTACGTGTGTGTGCATGTGTGTCGGTGTGTCGATGAAGGTTGTCGGTGGAGAGGTCAGCTGAGGTTATTGGCGGTGAGGTGAGATGGGGTTGTCGGTGGCGAGGTGAAGTGAAGTTGACAGTGGTGAATTGAGGTGAGGTTGTCGGTGGCGAGGTGAGATGAGGTTGTCGGCGGTGAAGTGAGGTTGTCGGTGGAAAGGTGAGCTGAAGTTGTCGGTGGTGAGGTGTGTGCGTATATATATATATATATATATATATACATGCATGTTTATATATATACATGTATATACGTGTATATTTTGTACTATCTCATCTTCAGCAGCCTAGCTATATGATTTAATTACAGGAACTATGTTGTCTGAAAGTTGTTCTGAAAAAAATATAGCTTCTGTCGAACCATGCCTAGAACTGCTATTATATGAAGCGAACGGAATGTTTAGGAAAATAAAGGGCAGAAAGAAGACTGTGACTAAATTAAATGATAAAGGAGATGCATTTAAACAAATGCAGACCGCCCATTCTACAACCTAGGTATGGACTAAAATCAATGTATGTGCATAGCGCAAATATTTTTATAAAAACTCCTAACCTAAATTGCTTTATAAGCATTGTTGACAATTCCGTAGTTAAATCTGGCATCACGGGTGAGAGCGACGCAACGAGACGAGCATAAAACGGTAACAAATCCAGTCGTGATGAAGGCACACGATAGAGTACTTTGACGAGCTTTTTTCGATAACCCTAATATTAAGCAGTATTTAAAACTTGAGCGATATATGATGGAGAGTTATTAGCAACAAATCAGTAACAATAGACGTCAACTGATGAACGCGAATTCACTACAGTTTGTGGCATCTTCAAATTACTCACCTTTGTATTAAGGTTCGAAACAAAGTCTAGGGCGCATTGATCAGTAGTGTCGCGATTCACAAGATGATCGAGATTCAAAAAGAATTTCTGGAACAATGTGTCATAGAATATCCATGGTTTCACAGCTAAAAGGAGCTAAAATCAAACCCCATAAAACGGGAAAAAACAGCTGTTTCAACTCTTATATCGTATATCAAAAATCCAATGAAAAGAACGTCTATAGATGGTCTAAACGTGCGAAAAAAGATCAAAACAGAAAAAAAGTAACTCCTTCAGCAACTTAGTAAAAGAAAAACAGTAAAGCAGAAAACACATTTTGAAACATGATTGCTAATCAAGCCCTAATTTGCGAGCTCAAGTTTTGTGCTCGTTTTGGTTCCGTGGTGGTTATTAACCAGGAGCTATAGATAGCGACCGAGAATCCAACCCGACTCCCACTGAAATTTTAATAAATATAGAAAAGTAGTGTCTATTCATTTACCAACATCGAAAGTGTTGAATTAAACGTTTCCTAGATGGATCAGTGCAAAACGTAGTGAACAGGAAGGATAACGATCTTCCTCTCTCAACAGTTCAAATTACCTGCGCAAGTTGTTTCATCTCCTCAGATGTGATTAGAACCGGATCACCTGCGCTTGCTAACTCTTCATTAAAATGAGCTGGTGAAGGAGTCCTAGGTCGGTAAGGTTCGTCGGCGATCTCTAGGTCCTTTTCTCTACAAAGAAATTTGTTAAAAATTTTTACACGATGAAGAAGATTCCAATTTTCAACATGGCTAAATCGCTTGAAACTTGGTTCGAACATTCTGAGAATACTATGAGTTTCGATATTAATATTTCAAAGCCGACTTTCCTTTAACCTCGTTATGATTAATAAACATGTACTCTTTCTTTGATAAACTTACACGAAGTTGATAAATAATCTTCATTTTCGACTAACGTTTCGACTGCTTCGTCTTTATCAGAGCCAATGATCCGAGTCAATATGCCAGTTGTTCGCCTTCTCGATAAACTCTTCTTCGAACAATTGTGGAGCCTCGACTCGGCTCATCGACTCTGATTAAGATGATTGCGTCGAAACATTGGTGTGAAAAAAATATTGTTTATCAACTCCGATAGTGAATTTGAATAAGCAGTAGGCATACTCAGAATATTCCAGTAACATATTAGCGAAGAACTTTGAACAATATACACACGAAAGAAAGACATCACATCAGTGTTATTTTAAGATAAAGGGTAGACGAAAAGAAAAAAAGACTGTATGAAAATGAGACTGCAATCAAATTTTGTGTCAAAACTGTTCCACTTTTTGAAATAAAACAGGTACCTACTAATATTATTAAGATCCCACAGAACATGATTTCAGCTCTCGCTAAAACAGAATGGATAACTAGAACTTTTAGAAAGGAAAGAACATGGTTAATATGAAAACTAAATCTACAAACGGTCAACAAATATCAGAACAACTTCCGAACGTGGTGCAAATTTCAATGTAACAAAACAATTCTATAAGTGAAAAGATAATCACCCATTTGATACTACTTCAGACTCTGCACCACGCTCTTCGCTTTCAAGTCCATCAACATCAATATCATCCACGGATGTCTTTAAATCGTTTTCTTGAATCGTTCGCTCTTCTGATTCCTGCAATTGAAAGTGAAACAGTAGTAATTTTACAGAGAAAGAGAAAAGTAGGAAAAACGAATCCGCATACTGCTCTTCACACAAACCTTGTACAAGTTTCTCGGCACAATATTTCTGATGTCAATAAGGTTTTCATAGAACGATCGAGTTTCATCGTCCGGCCACAAAGATACGTGTCCTTCAGCCAAAGCCTTATCCATCTAGAAACGTTTCACTTTAAAGAAAAGTGCATCAAAGACCAACAATGAATCTATCTGACCTCCATCGCAGCTGCTTCGTCTTCTTCGTCATCACTTGGTTCCTCTTTCAATTCAATCATAGGCACACCGAGAGCGTTACTTAATTCCGCTCCCAAAATTTTCAGCCGTTCGTATTCAGATCGTACTGTTTCAAGTTCCGCTTTTTCTTCAGCGGTTGCATCACCTATATTGCACAATCCACATCGAATAACAGGACAATCATTTTATATGTGAGTGGTATATGTTTATGTATGCGTTCTTCTGTGTACATATAACAAAACGTATACTTCAACAGATAGGTAGACATATCATACTTTATCCCATAATTCCGGAAAAAGTGCAAGCCATGTACAACAAAAATGGACAACCAACGGTGCCAATCGATTATGTCAGCATGCCACGTATACAAGTAGATTAATAAGGATTCCAACGTTGCAAACCTCCATGCAGAATATTTCATACTTAATTGGATACTTGGACGGCCCGTCTTCACTGGTTGTACGGGCCTCAGCATAATTTCCCACTCTTTGGAGACTTGCTGGTTTAGTCACTGTGGTTCCTTAGAGTTCAAATTTCAGTTTAGCCAAAGTCTGCCCGGGTCGCTACTACCACAGGCGGTTGCCGCCTTTATGGATCAGGAGAGTTGGCATCGTACGAATGGCTTAGTACCAGGACGATGATGGATCCCGGTATTGGTTTACCTTAGCTGGGCTTCCTGATGGAAACGTCGAACTCCTTCACAGCTTGGAAGACCCCGCCAAAAGGATGAATCCCCCCGCTGCACATCACAGACCGATACCGAGGAACACCTCCCAGCCACAATACGGCGGTAAACCGTTGGGAGTTTATAAAGAATATACCATTATTATTGTTGCTCTTGCTTTATTCTTTTACATTTCAAGCCAACATGAATTTACAACAAAAACATCGTCTAGACTTTATATTTCATTATGACAACTGCCGAAAATGGATGGACAGTCTTTTTACCCTAACGGTGCTATCAGCAAGCACTCATCAACGAGAATGATCTGGAAAGCACAAGTCGGCACTGAACCCAACTAAGCCAAAGTTACAGTCGAAATGACAATGTTTTAACTTTTATTTACTGCGCTTTCTCTTCTCATGGCAGAGCACAATGTGAAACGCTGGTCTGGTGGGTGGCACGTGACCCTCCGCTAAGGGCTACGGCAAGTTCGGCGTTAAATTGAGGTTCTCAGTTTTCCTCATATCCCGGCATCCTAGTAGTTGTATTTTACATCACACGCTGCCACAAAAAACAATATTTATTAAATGAAAGGCAAAAATTCTACTGATTTCGAAGTACTAGCAAAAATCTACCATATATGGTCATAAATGAAATAACATTTGTATCACAAAACCATAACCGAAACATAAAAATATCAGCTCTGTTATATTGCAAGGATCCAGGTTTACTGGATGTATGAACGTTATCAATCAACACTGAGACCCACCTCTGGTTCTTTCATGACGTTTCACCTTCTTCTGCACTGCGTTCATCTCAGCACAAACTTTCTCAATACGTCGAATAATCCCGGCATGATAATTCATGAACAAATCACAAATGGCCTTTCGATGAACGGAATTTATTGCTTCATTCACTTTTAAGGCGTCTATGAAGCAAAATTTAATAACAACACTAGAGGTAACTAATATAAGAAATGAAATGGAAACCATTCTGATGTTCAGTCTAAGTGCAACCACACAACCGTGAACTATTTACAAATTCCCTTACTTCAGCTTAAATTAAGGATTTTGAGTCTGTTAATGTCACTGTGAATAATATTTCTCAACAACATGTAGGTTAGAACCACGACGTTGAAGAAAAAAGCGAAATAGTCTAATCTGAAAGGAATAGGACTTCTTACTAATCTCTCACCTTGACCTATTGAAATCCCCTCTCCTCCTTCAGGCGATGGAACAATGCCGGCAATTTGCCAACCAACAATACGGCAAAGTGAACATAGAAGACCAACCTGAAAAACTAATAAATCCCAAGCAAGCAGAGCGTGATCATTTCAAAAAAACAGTTGATGAGCCAGACAGAATTAATCTGCAAGAAAAAATAAGGTGCTAACATATGAATGCTCTTCTTTATCTGTAACGCAAATATAGGACAGAGTAGCACCTAGCGTCTGAAGGCCTTCCCTGCCGACCACACCACACAGAATGAACTCACACAGCAATCTAAATACGATTTCTCAAAATTGAAAAATATTACTACAGGCATGCCAAGATGCCAATCGTTTAGCTTATCAGAAACTGCATTAGTAATATCTAGACATATAAAGGATAAAGCTCTTGACGTCGATCTATCCCTGATCAATACGCGATGCATTCGACTTAAATAAGCATCGTAGGAGGCGATTGAATGCATATCTGGACTTTACAATGACTCGTTGTAGCCTACCGATGTATCGAAGTGCCGCTATCCTCCCAAAGAAGTCTGGTACCGATCTACCGACCCAGGAAAGATGGAGGGCCTGGTGGACCTGAGGTGCAGAGATCGATCCCATGTATGTTGCAAGGTACCTCCGACCACTGCGCTACATGTGCCTATCTAGACATGTACGCACTAAAAACACCTGCGAAAAGCAAACATTTAGAAAGCACAGTATTATGCATATAAGCTGAGGAGTTTGGCTGGCAACAATTTGCAATGTGCTAAGGATCTGATTAGATTTTATCGCGGTCATCTGGAGATTAGAGGGAAAATGACTAGCTTAACCTGCAATTAAACATTCTCAGTACCACGAACACTGAGCCCTCTACCCTACTACACTAGTCCTGCTAGATTGTAGGTAGTTAGTTTTGTCTGACCAAAAAAAGATCCATCGAATGCCACCGACAACGTTTCTTGTTCTACACTTACAACACGAAAACAGTACGCACAAACGCAGATCTCACTTTTCCATACGTCAAATGAATTTTCACGTGGTCGTCCTACAAGAAATAAAAAGCAATGTGCTAAATACAAGTCAATTAATTGGCAAGATCCTTTTACTTCCTTGAAAAATGCCTGCGTTTCCAAGTGTGTCGCCTACATATGGTCGACCTATAGAAGATCCGACTTGCAAAAGAAGATAAAATGCTACTGTAATCCTATAAATTTTTCGAAGGACCGTTCTTCTTGAATTCCTGCGTACAACATGTCTATTGCACAGAAATTCATTTCCGAAAAAGAAGAATAATCGCCATTGGACACGCGAAGATTCTCATGACACGATTCATTATCCATGCTCGCAAAAATAGAAGACGTGCAATCATTCTGCACTGTACTCAATTTTCCACTTCGTCCTCTGTAAGAAGATTCGAACCAACTGAAGGCAGAAAAATAAAGGCACAATTTTTGAATAACAACACGATCATCTAGTTGAAGTAGAACTTTGACAGAGATAATGGTGTGCTGATCACATCCAAAACCAAGTGACGACTAATAAAATGTGTTGGAAATATCATCTACCTCTTCTTATATTCCTTAGCGACTAACAGAAAGTTTTACTGAGCGTTAAAACAAACGCTGTCCTATTAGCTATCGTTGACTAACGAATGCACCCACCTCGATAAGAACTCTTGCGAACAACGATCGCAAACAAAGCTCTTTCTGCGTTGATCAATCCCTAATGGGCGCATTTAATGCGCTACCCATTTGGTTAAGATCCTAGGATCGTATAGGTGACTGATGCATGTCAGACCTATGCAATGACTTGCAGTGGCCTACCGACGTATCAAATCAACGCTGAAATACTCGGAGACATGCCTGGTACCAATTTACCGACGCTGGAGAGATGGATAGCTTCGAATGCCCGGAGTGCGCACGGTATTGAACTAATCACTACATGTGCATTGCATGGCACCTCTAACCACTGCGCTAAGCGAATCCTTCAAAATGTTCTTTTCTACACGGGAATGCGCTCGTCTCACACCTCTATCAACGCCATTCAACGAACACGTAAAAGAATATCGGGAACGAACTTTTCAAAGGAAGGAAAGCAGAACAAGCAGAGCGTTCAAAAACCTTATCGAAGCCATAAAACAGCTAGATGACCCACAACACATGCTCAACTTTTGAGCCAACAGAGCTACTACAACAACAACGACAATGTATACCAACCTCGCATCAGCTCAACAAGATCAGTTCATAAGTGCTACTAGTGTTTAGAAATATCAGATAAGATGGGAGCCGACATCTCGGCTGCGTCCAGAATTTTATGCACCACCTACTAAGCGCTTGAACAATGACTTTTGAAAGATAACTGATGAAAAAACTTTGGACAGAAAGAAAAAAATATATATCAACTTCGAGATCTGGGAAGATATATACGTTCGGTGCGAAACATAGATAGGTTGCTCAGATATCAAGAAGACTAGCAAGATAAACCAGAAGAACGACATAAAGGACAAGAAGAGGATGTAAACGTCTTCTAGAGTAGTCAACTAATGAATGGTACTCCAAAAAATCAGCATGTTCAAAGCCGACCAAAACCACAAAGATGACTGCGAGGGAAAGAAAGGAATGGGAAAATTGCTCTGGCCTATACAACTCGTGATGGTGTTTGAAGAAGTACATTTAAGTATAATGATTTCAATGGCATGTAATTCCGAGAACACCTTAATAAAACAAAAACAAATAAATAGTTAATTTACTAATTAATGACGAACTCACCTGACATCTATTCGCAACTTAGATGGATTAGCAACTTTATCGGATCGTTTAAGAGGTAATCCTTTCTTAATCTCCGAGAGAAGTAACCCAGCAAACCTTGGATAGCGCGAACAAATTGCGATACAGAGATCCACAATGGGAACTACATCTGCTGGCTTAAGTCTCGTTTCGGCGATACCCTATAAGAGATCGAAAAAAATCACCTCTTTCGTTAATTTTTTACTTACTCCCTACTACAGTTTTTCATGGTTGGGTACTATGTGAAATACAACCACAATGATGCTGCGATATTTGCAAAACTCAGAACCGCAGGTGTCTGCGGTAGGGATAGAAAACACTATTACCCTCTCCGGTGGCTAACACACTCACCACCAGACCATGCAGGTCTTTCGTTTCGCCTTTCTCTCAGCTCGTTTCCTACCTAACAGTGTCATCAGCAATCATCCGTCAATGGGATTGATCGGGGAAGCACAAATCGGCATTGAACCTAGTTAAGCTGAGGATACAGCCAAAACCACAATGTTTAACATTTTGTTTACTCACTACTACAATTTTTTACGAGAACTCTCCACCGCAGACACCTACGGTCTGGAGTTCTGCAAATATCCGAGCATCATTGCGGTTGTATTTCATTAATAATGTGATTTCGACTATACTCTCAGCTTAGTGGGTTCAATACCTATTTGTGCTTCCCAAATCAATTCCGCAGGCAACTGATTGCTGATGGCACTGTTAAATAGAAAACTAACTGACAGAAAGCCGAAACGACGGACCTGTATGGTGCGGTGGTGAACGCGTTAGCTTCCGGAAAGGGTAATAGCGTGTTCGATTCCCACCGCAGACACATGCGAACCAGTTTTGCAAATTTGTCTCGTATTAAGATGCCATTAACTAACAGTTGCCATTTCCTCGACGAATTTCGAGAGATTTAGCCGCGATAGATCCTCAATTAAAGAAGGAACACTGGCTGCCGATAGTGATCTCAGCTTTTTCATAAACGCCGTCGTCTTCTTAAGCGTTGAGTCAAGAGAATGCAATGCATTTTCGTCTGTAGATTCGGTGCTGGCCAATGTGAAGCGGTGTTGCTCCTATAGTTATCGGATTCACACAAGCAAGGTATATTAAAAAGTATATCGAAAGGGAAACGAAACATTAAACAAACCGTCCTACATGGAAGAAAAAACATCTGCTCTCGTTTTTAAGAAATAAAAGTAACGAATCGACAGAAACAAATAATGCAAAAACAAATCGAAATGAGTGAAAGTACTCCAACAGAGATAGCAAAATCAAAAGTAATACACAAACCTGTGCTTCTATCCTTTTGTTCACCTCTTCTACCCATTGTCGATCGGCTGACCGTGGCCAATCGGCCATTCAATCCTTTAAAAACATGGAAAGTCAGTGAGAACAAAAGTAGACGAAACAAATACACAAACTATTGTACCCAAAACAGGAACATTAGCACTAGAATTCTCGACAAACAACACCAAATTAGTCTATAACTTTTACCTACTGTGCCATTGTTTTTTCAAGGCAAGGTATTATGTGAAGTACAACCACAATAATGCTGAGCTATTTAAAAACTCTGGACTGCAGATGTCTGCGGTGGGGACCAAACATGATATTCGGTTTAATATCAATTACTGCTCCCCACATCAAACGCGTTGACGCGTGATTGCTGATAGCGATCCTGCAACATGGATGACAAGAAGGCGAAACGAAGGACTCGCACGGTGTGGTGGAGAACGTGTTAGCCTCCCTCCCGTCCCTTCCCACCGCAGACACCTGCATTTCGGGGTTTTGCAAATAGCTCAGCGTTATTGCGGTTGCATTTCACATAAAACAAGCTTATTTGAAATCCTTAACTTATCGTGTTTACAGAGGAACAACCTTGGCAAACAATTCCTAATGCAAAACATCCTAATGAGAGTTTCTCCGAACTCCTAACTTTTTTATTCAAAGTCAACTTCCCATAGGTTGCAGTAAAATTGTTACTCAAATAAATCCCACGCTAACCAACACACATAACTCACTCTAAATTCATCACTGAACTCAGCAAATAACACCGCAATCATTTAATGATACTTAATACTTAAACGGCCCATTCTCACTGGTTGGACGGGCCCAGCATAATCACCATTTTTCGGAGATTTGCTGGCTAAGCCACTGTGGTTCCCTGGAATCCTGAGGTCCGCCTAACCAAAGTCTGCCCCAGGTCTTCACTACCACGGGCAGTCGCAGCCATTGTGGATCAAAGGGAGATTTGCCACCATGCGACCTTGATACCAGGACGGTGGCGGAACCTCGTATTGCTTTACTTTTAGCTAGGTTTCCTATTGGAAACACCGGACTCCTCAGCCTGGGAAACCAGGCCGGAGTGGCGAATTCCTCCACTGTACATCGCAACCCGACAACCAGAAACACCTCCCAGCCAAGAGGTGGTAAACCATTGGGAGGCATTTAATGATACCCCGACAAATATCACAAGTCATCCAAACCATTGGAAAAAAGTTAACCGAAACGGTACCTTCACCATATCGGTATAAACAGTGACCTCAGAAACCTATCAAGTGGAGTGTAATCCAACCATGGACATGGATACTACGTGAGTATGCCTCATCTACAACTTAACTAAACCTATTAGCATGGTACCATCCTCTGTCCCATAGTTTTTGGATTGACGGCAAATAAGTTACTTTGGAGACACGTGTCTTGCAGCACGTGGTTGAAAATTAGAGACACTTCCACTAAATGAATACGAACATAATCATAATGATGCTGGGATATTTGCAAAATTCCGGACCATTGGTGTCCGCAGTGGGGATCGTACACGTTGCTACCCTCACCGAGGGCTAATGAATTCGCTATCACACCATGCGAATCCTTCGCCTCGCCTTTTTCTCAGCCGCGCTATTGACCGATAGGTGCTATCGGCAATCACCCATCCCACAATCATGAATGCCAACATACTTCACTGGGATGTTCGAAATGAATCCCTGCTTTTTCATGTACATTGAATGCATCGACTAAATAGACGAGTAGTTCGTTTAGAATTCACTAACACGAAGATTCATTCGTAAGTTTAAAAAAAGAAACACGTCAAAGACGAATAACAAAAAGCGTTACGTTCCAATACAATAGAATAACGGCGTCTTCAAACCGCACATGAAAATGATGTTGTTGATAGACTAAACAGAAATACATATTATCGTAATGAATAGGAGAAGATAGGAAATACCAAATAAAAAGAATAATAATGGAGAGAAAAGAGCGAAAAATGAAACGTAGCTAGAACAAAACATATGGGTGGAATAACTGTGGCTTTAACACCAAAGTAAACTACGTTACACAAAAGAACAGCAACATTTGCAAATATTACTAATTATTTCCGCCAATGACGTCTTGAACGAACCCTTCCACTACCCCCACCATAGGAGCCACCACTACTATATGAACGGAAAGGGCCCGGAATAACTGGTTCATATCCTCGACCATACCCTCCATGAATGCTACCATAGATAGGACTGTAGCTACCTAAAACATAATATATTAGTTGCTGACATCCAATACCGAAAAACATCCGTGATTACCTCTAGGTGCGACCAAAGCAAGAGGTCTTGGGGCTGGTTGACCGCCAACCACACGCCATGTTAACCTCCTCATTGTATTCGGCATGTCATTCCACCCAAATAATTCCACATATCTACAATCTCACCACGTTGTAAACAGCTGTGAGCAAAATCTGTTGAACAAAGATTTACAAATTAATGATATGAAAGTTTGCCTTTTTCCCATCATAGCCTTATTTCTTGAAAAAGCTTCGTGAGCTTCAGCTGTCGTACCGAACTCCACCACGGCATCTCCAGATGGCCGCCGTTCATCATTGAATCCTAACTAGAACACAAAGAATGTGTCACTGTAAGACGAGTATAGCAAACAGAAAGGCAACTTCAAAATATGGGATCCTTACAAATTTCTCACTGTAAACTGTTACCGTGCCTAATCCCTACCAACGGTTTAGCGCCTCGTCGTGGATGGAAGATGTTTCTAGCTGCCGGGCTGCGACGTACAGCGATAGGATCCATCTCCCAGAAAAGTCTCCCAACCTGAGCAGTCTGTCGGTTCCATCAGGAAACCCAGCTAAGAACAAATCAATACCAAGATCATCGTCATGGTACCAAACTAGTTGTTTGGTGGCAAATCTCCCTCTGATCCACAAGGGAGTAGACTGCCCGGTGTAGAGACGACCTGAGGCTTTGGCTAGGCTAACCTCGGGACTCCAGATAACCACAAAGGCCAAACCAGCAAATGTGAATTGTACTGGAGCCCGCACAACCGGTGAAGATGGGCAATCCAAGTACAGCACTTAATCAAGCTACAGTTCAAAAAAATCTGCGTTATAAGATACTCAAGGTAAATTCATGAAAGGACACATGCTTCCGCATTCTTTTTTATTTCATATGACCCGCCTTCACGTCTACGGTGCGGGTTCCAGAATTTCTCATATTCGACTCGTTTCCTCGCATCCACTGTCCACGAACTAACTTTTACGTGTGGCTTCGGCTACTGATTGAGAATTTCCATTTTATTTTGAATGTCGTAGAATTTTTGTCGAGCAATTCTGCCTGAAGTCCTGAGATAACCGGCTGCAGTGTACCCGACTGGATTGCAGAGAGTGATTTTTTCCCGGACAAGTCCGGTTCCTTTTCCCGACCCTGGACAGATGAGGCTTGGTTAGTTTGGAGCAGAATCGAGCTGGCACCACGCCCGTGATGACCGATACCACTACCGTTGTGCTATCCAACCTCAGCAAATTGTGCTTCTGACTCTTTATTTTGCTGCTGTATTCTCCAGACATCATGAACAATAGCAAATTATTACAGCAGCAATAAAATCGTAAATTTAAACGAACACTGATCTCGACGCAACGAAGTGGAGCAAAAAACTGCTCGATCATGTAGGCATCAGCATCGAAGGGAAGACCACGCATGAATACCTGAATGACAAAAGTTATGTATGCAAATATAACAAATAGCACATAGTCCCTGGGCAATAATGCAACAACCACCTACCCAAAACTACCTCACTTTAAAGTCGACCCTCAACGAACTTTTTTCCGCCCGCTTTAAACGTCAGAGTAGAAAATGTATTAAAAGGTGCAAAGTGTAAATAAATCCAGATTTCATACAAGATCAAAACAAGTTTGGATAAGAGACTTAACTTCTATAAAACTTCCGTATTGCGGGCTACATCTGTGCTTTTTATAAATGTGTTAGTAAAGAAGAAGGGTTCAACATGTGAGTTGGGAAATATTTGTTGAAAATCGAGAGGGTCAAATGTCGTTAGGTACTCATGTGCTTAAATAAATGCGTGCAGTAAAGGTTTCAAAGCAGGCTTATACTATAGCCACCATCTCAAAATAAACTTAAGGAAAAAGGCGTTAGCTGCTCACTACAAGTGTTATTTTGCGAGCTATAGGGATAAGAACACACTCGTTCTAAGTTCTCACGTACCAAACAACAGGTCAGTTTTATAGACGACACTTTCGAAAAAGTGATAACACGAACAAAACAAATTATTCTGGAGAGCATCTATCTGTCAAAAGACGCTACCTCTGAAGCAAAAGAGAGTTGAATAACAGGGTGTAATTTTTACCTCATATAGAAACACTACGCATCTATTTTTCAAACAACACCATAGAGAAATGCGGAGAAGTAAATCGACGAAGAGCAGAAAATAAAAACGAACTTTTGTAGGTGGAATGAAGTCATCATAATCGTCATATCTTCCGTATCCTCGCAGTGGTATGTCGTACGGGGCTGAGCGCAGAGGTCCACGTAAGCTGCGTGAGCTCGAGCGGCTACAAGAATAGCACTTCTCCACGAAGAAAGTTGGAATCACAAGCTTGTGCACAAAATACTAAGCCTTCACATTTATGAAAATCTTGACTTACGGCAGGAAATCGTATGCTTTAGTGTCGAAAAGAGAACGAATATACCCTCCAGATTCATACGATCTAGGGCGATTACGTTCCATGTCATCAACAGTGGTCCGAAATACTTCGACATATCTAGATGAAGAAATCTCGCATGTGGAGTACTTTACCAACCAATCATACAAGAACGTTTGACATAGAATAAGATTTACAAGAGAGCAAGAAAGACAAAGCTGCATACAATGAGGATCAAAGATACGCAATGAAAGAGCTACGTGGACAAAAATGACCCAAAAAATGTAAACACCACGAATGAGTACAAATCTGTGAAAGAGAAAAACGTCACAAGAAAAGTATCCAGGACCACGATGTAACGTCAAAACTGAGCCCACTATCCCACCTGCTTCCCATATGTTCCTTGTTGAAATCGAGTGCTTTGGCGGCTTCCTCCCTCGTGGCAAGTCGCACGAAAGCTTCCCCGCTAGGTCGCCCTCCCGTACGCCCGAATACCACCTCTTCACAGTTTAGCCCTGATACACACCACCACTGTTTTTGTGAGTACATTCCCTCAAACCATATTAGAGGCAAGAATACTCCGGTAATTATTTAATACAATAACCAATTACTAAAACATAATATACCTTTAACGATCAGAAATTTCTATAAAATTTAGAAATATTTTGAACTTTATATGTTGTGCTGGGAAATTTGGGAAAGAGGCACCGTGTCCCGACTCCCTCCACAGCAACACTGCTTCCTTGTTCAAGATTAATAATTTATAATCTATCAAAACAATTTTTAACAAAGTCAAAATCATAATGAGATGACAGCTCACTGACCTTTGAAGAAATCCTTTACGTCCTGAAGCGTAGCAGAAAATGGCAAGCCACGTAAACGGATGACTTTTCCATCGTCTGTTACAAGGCCAACGCGTTTCAGATTCGTCAGCTCATCAATTGACACCGTGAAAACTGAAACACTTGCTTTACTTCCACAAAGACAAAAGTAGGAATTTAAGAAATTGGTAAAAAGGGAAAAGATGCTGGACCGGTGCTATAAAGACCTAATGATCTCAATTTTAGCTCTTTCCCCTCAGTAAAACCAGCTCCGATAAGTAGTGTATGCCACAAATCTACATTCAAACCACTTCGCACAGCACTCTTTCAGTACCTTACATAGCTCAGTACTATACTCTATACAGCCTGGTGCAGCTCAGTTGCTTAGTAACTTAGTATTACGCTAGTGTTTAGTAGCTTAGAACTACGCCAGATAACTGTTTAAAAATGTTCCCACTCGACCTGACAACGCGTAGATAAGCTGCTTGTCACATGCCTTTAGAAGTCTGCACACTCAAAAAAGTAGGAACACACTTTCAATGTATCTTCCTTCCATTTCTTTCCGATGGAACTCTAAGGCCTTCAGGGTATCCTGTTTCGATGGTAATTCGCAATAACACTCTCCACTTGGTCGTCCATTATGACTGCTACTCATCGTAATAGTAGTGACTGGTATCCCTAAACCAATTCATCATCTATATTCCATAAACAATGTTAAAACGTTTCACCCACCATCGAGAAAAGCGCGAATGTCACTTTCCTTAGCCGAATAGGGCAAACCTCGAAGACGAACATAGGTTGTCTGAGGCATTTTCTGTTTCGAATCATTAGTCTCTTGAGATTCATCAGTCGTCGAATGATCCTTGTCCTCCTCGTCCTCCTCTTCCTCATCCTCATCCCTCTCTTCATCCCTAATCTCTTCTTTTACGGTTTCGGCTTCGTCCTCCATTTGAACCATCAACGATGCACGAATGTGGTGTACCTTCATGAAAAATTATCTTGTGGAAGACACAGCACAAACAACCAGGTAACTTACGGCCATATTGGGAAGAAACCGAAAACAGATAATACGAAATCCGTCGTAATAGTTGTTTGTATCAGAATAGACGGAAGTGTCAGCAAAACGTATTAACTTTTATATTAAAACATGTATCAGTAGAAAAAAGCACTTTTCTCAGAATTTTTATTCTTAAAACTATTTTTAGATTTTAGGATTCCAGACAAGAAAAAGAAAAGGCAGTATCAGTGAACCAACCGCTAGCAATTCAACATGAAGAAAACTAATCAGAAAACACTTCATCCACAACATTTACAGTATCTATAAAGCAATCGATAAGATATTAAAGCAGTGATAACGGAAGAACCTTCCCAACGGTTTAGCTCCCGATAGTGGCTGCGAGGTGTTCCTGAGTGCCGAGCTGTGATGTACAGACGGTGGAACTCATTCTTACAGTACAATCTCACAAGATGAGGAGTCCGGCATTTCCATCAGGAGCCCACCTAAGAGTAAACTAACACCAGGATCCATCCCCGTCCTGGTATTAAACTAGTAGCATAGTCGAAAAAATCCTTCTCATCAATGGCCGTGACTGCCTCGGGTGATGATGACTCGGAGCAGTTTGGTCTGGCTGACCTAAGCACTCCAAAAAATCCGCTATGGCTAAACCAGCAAAACTCCGAAAAACTAGAGATTGTGCTGCGGCCCGCACCACCAGTAAAGAAGGGTCATCCAAGTAAGTAAGATAACAGGCGAATAACAGTATGAATGAAGGATTTGTAAGAAGTGCGACCACATGGATGAAGAGTGGACAAATGAACTTTCTGACTTTTCTAGCGTGCGTGAAAACACCGCACAACAGTACACATAGAGTTTACAACATTTTGTACTAAACACAAAGCAAATATAAAGTTAAAGATACTAAATAAAAACGAAAAATGCTTAGTGGTCACTGGCATCACGCTGCACTGGCGAACGCCGCATTGATATATCGATTTTCTCTGGGAAGGCCGAAAAGGACGCCGAACAAATGTTCCATTGCGTACTATTTGTTCACCTACAGTAATCCAAATTCCTCCAATTCTTTCGTTGTTGAGACCGTTGTTCGGTAAGAACAGGTTACTATCACAGGATAATCGCTGTTATCAACAAAAACCTCCTAAATAAAAGAGCACTATCGGGTGAGATTGCCTGACCTGATGTGAGCGATGTTCCGCTGAAGAAGATTCGACTCGTTACGAAGACGAAGACACCACTTCCAGATGGCGAACGACCGTGGACCATTGGTTCAGTCATCGGGTCAGGGAAGACGAAGACGTCGAAACGATAGCTAAATAGAAGTTGTATGACAACCTCGTGTAGACTGAACAATTCAAACACGCTCCAGATTTCGTCGATATTTGCTGAAGCTTGAGAACAAAGCCAATGAAACTAAATTTCTCTCGTAGATTTGACGACGTTTCGAAACCTTGATAAGCCTTTTGAATTTCAGAATCGTGATATCACTTCTATGGGGCGGGTAGCACAGTTGTAGTGATGCCGTTTATCAAGAGCACGGTGCTGGTTCGATCCCGCTACGGGACCACTAGGCCTCTCATCCCTCCGGAGTAGAAAAATTGATGCCGGACTTGTCTGGGAAAAAGCTTCCTGTACAATCTAATTGGGAACGCTCCAGCCCTGCTAGTTCAGAACTAGGAGAATCGACTCGACCGGCGCTCTACAGCATTCAAGATGGAATGGAAATCCTCAAGCAACAGTTGAAGCCACACGTAAACAGTCGGAACACCTTCGTAGATGATGGATGCGAGGGAACAAATCGAATGTGAGAACTGCTCGGATCTCCACAGTAGATGTGAAGAGAGGTCGTATAAAATAAAAAAGTTATTCCTCGTATTCTTGTTCAGCAAACACGAGGTGTTACTTCATTCCTTCATTTACGCACAAACTGACGTTTCGGCGGATTTCGCCTTCCTCAGAGCCTGGAAAGGTCAAGTTGATGACTACAATCTACACGGCCAAACACCTCTATAACCAAGCAGAGTAAATGCTGAACAAAAATTTCACATTGAACACAGAGTCTTTGCACACTCACCGCTTTCTATGAGTCTTCCACGGACACCAGACCATGTCGTGGAGACCAACCGCACAGAGTTTACACGGAATCGTAATGTGCCTCTCACATCAAAACAGCAGTCTCAAAAATACAATACTGCCCAACATCACGCGTGATAATGCGGCATTCCTCCCTGCGGTTTGTTTTCGGATTCTTGGAATTGATGGGATGGAATTGTCTCGAGAGTCTTGCGCGCTTGTGTTCTCGATTCCTGTGCGAGGATCGTGACAAGTACTTCAAAGTCCTCCCAGTTATGTCTCTGGGCCCTATGCGTGCCTAGCGGGGTATTTGGTCTATGTTTGCCGGCTAGGTGTTCTTTTATGCGGACACAGAGGGGTCTGCCCGTTTCGCCAATGTATTCTTCTCTGCATGCCTTACAGGAAATCAAACAAACTGTACCCGAGCTTATACAATCACCGTCTCTACCATTAGGGCAAACTATGCAATTTTGCGTTGCACATAGGCGGTTACGAACTATCTAGCGCCTAGATTACTCGGTGGCATTTCAACTACTTTTACCGAATTCTCTAGACCCGCACTTCTTAAACAGCGTATTATAGCTGCACTTATCATTTGAGATGAAGAGTAGGATAAACGGGACCTTTTTATCGCAAGAGTTGTCGTTTGGGGGCCTAGGATTTCCTCTACACCTACCCCGAGCTACAGTTTCGTAGCCAATAGAAATGGCTATTTGCCGTGCCAAGTTCCGGGGCTCCTCTCTCTGCTCTCTTCCCGTGCACACGTTGGTTGCTCTTCGAAACATGAAACAAAACGAAGCAAACAAACATAAAAAAGTTATTTCAAAACCGACTTTCCTTTAACCTCGGTATAATTAGTCAATGTGTATTCTTTCTTTGATAAACTTACACGAGATTGGTAAAGATGTTTATTCTGCTAACGTTTCGACGGTTTCGTCTTAAACAGAGTCGATGATCCTAGTCGATGGTCCACCGTTGTTCGTGTTCTCGAGGTGGCGCTTTCAGTTAGCAATCAAAAGTTATCATTTGTTGGAAATAAAGTACGTATATATTGTAGTAATAGGTGCGTGCAGCGCAGTGGTCGGAGGTGCCCTGCAACATACATGTGAAATCGATCCCTGCGGCAATGGCCCCACCAAGCCTTCCATCCCTCCGGAGTCAGCAAACTGTTGACAAACCTGTCTGGGAGGATACCAGCACTGGCTTGATGCATCGGTAGGCCACCGCGAGCTCATTCTGAAGTCCAGATATGCATTCAGCCACCTCCAACGATGCTTGGTGAAGTCGAATGCATTCCACATCCCTCAGGGATTGATCAATGCCAAGAGCTTTTTTATTTTTGTATATTGTAAATTACTTAATGCTTGATATTTGAGTGGCCCGTCCTCACTGGTTGTGCGGACCCCAGTATAGTCTCCATTGTTCGGAGACTGGCCAAAGTCTGCCCCAGGCCTTCACCACCTCAGCTCGTAGCACTTGTGGATCAGAAGGAGATTTACCACCACGCGACTTTGATACCAGGACGGTGGTGGATCCTGGTACTGAGAGATATTGTAAATTGGCCTACCACAATTTGTAGAACATGCTCAACGCTGTTTACTTAGGCGCAGATGATAGCCTAAAAGGTTTTCTTTGAGCCCAGTTCAAGAAGAGGGGTGGTCTATCGACTAACTATGATTTTGTAGGGCTCAGCATCGACGAAATTTGGTTGTTCGACAAAGGACAAGCCACTGAAATTTTGAGTCGAAATATTTTTTCAACAAATGACAACAATTCAGACCCATAACTGTCTCACCCAAATTTGGCTCACCCAGTTTACTACGGGGAACCACGTCTCATCAAATTTAGTTTACTATATGGAAAAGTTCAGGTGTGGATTTGTAGGTAAGCTTTTGTATATGTTCTGTCTACAGAACAAATAATGCTTGGCTGGTCGATCGTGTCGTGTCTTGGATCAAACCTATAACACTGAACGATCCGAGGTTTCTCCATATCTCAACGGTTTTGTCTAGAACACGGAATTCACAAATGTTTTCAGGACAAATGTTTTACGGACGCCTATCGTAGATCTCCATAGCTACTGTCGGGGTGTACTCTTTCTTCTAAGTGAAGGTGTTAAACGTCCACTATGTGTGGTTCGAGTCCTTTTCCTACAAACGGTACTTAACGTGGTTCTTGTGGTGAGTCTTTTTACTTCTAGCTTGTATAATACATTTGAGAATCTGGTGCTGTTGTTCAGATACAGGTATATCACAAAAGTTCGGTCGAAAGGAAAAACTTGCAAGCAACAAATGGCTTAACATCTTATCATGAAAAATGTGATGGGATTAGTAGATGCTTACGATCTGCCGAAACTATTAAATGGAAGCCTATCCCACTGCAGATCCCATTGAAATTTCTATGATCATTTTTTAGCCAAAAGCCGTAAGAATGGCGATAAAATCAAAAATGGGCAAATTTGATTAATCACATTTAAACTGTTCATAGTTGAGTATCATCAATGTAGTGTGAGTCACTTTTTAACTGTAATGTGAGCGCTCATCCCAACGGTTTACCACCTTACCATGGCCAGTAGATGTTCCTGGATGTAGGACTGCGATCTTTAGCGGGGGTTCATCCCCTTACCCTGACTTCCCAAACTGAGATGGAGTCCAACACTTCCATCCGGAAGCCCAGCTAAGAGTAAACGAATACCAAGATTCGCCGCTGTTCTAGTATCAAACTAGTTACGTGGTGGCAAATCTCGCTCTGATCCACAAGCGCGGTAACTGCCTGACGTTTTTTAACCTGGTGCAGACTTTTGCTAGGCTGACCTCGGGTCTCCAAGGAAACACAATGGCTAAATCAGAAAAACTCTGGCCGCAGTACATTGCACACTGGGCGCTTCCGTTTACGCGACG